AGCTAAAAATGTTCTTTGTGATGAATTACATATAAAAATATTGTTAACTCAAAATCGACTTTTTGGTGACATGCCTCATTTCTATTGATCAGACCCCCATATAAGAATTAATTTTTATTGAATAAAAACCTTTAATGAATATTTTTTAAATACCTTTAAAGCAATCTTAGTTCTCAACAAACTGGAATAGCAGTGGTAATGAGAATTCCAGCAAGTAGCACATAGAAGGAGAATTGCAAAATATTTGTTATATTTAAACTTTTGTTCATCATGTAACTTTGCCATAAAGTAAACTGATCTGTTTAAGAAAGAAATGATTTGAATTGCCTTTTCAGATGAAACATTTAAACTAGATGATTCTTTAAAAAATTTTCCAACAATTAAATTAGTTTGATGTGCAAAACAGGGACCAAAAAAAACATCACATCATTCTAGTGCCAGCTGCTTTCTACAAAATATTAAAGTTAAAATTACTAATAATCAAATAAAAATCTATTTTAAAAACATACCTTGCTGCTTGATTTTGTGATGCTGAATCAGTAATCATAGCATTATATTTGATATTTAGTTCATCTAACTTGTCCAAAAATTCAATGATAATTCTTTTATATTTTGCCATTGCAAACAATTTCCACTCACATCTTCCCCTCCCCAAATTAAAACTTGTCCACCTGAAGTAATTAAAACTGAACCTAAAATCTCCTGCTTTTTAATGTTTTTCCCACCCATCAAAGCCTATTGTAATGCCAAACAAATCCTTCTGTGCAGTATCAACTAAACTATCCTGATTTTATCAGAATTACTAGTTAAAATACAACCAGCTAATATTTTACAGCTTGGCAATTTCAATCCTGGATTTGCATAACTAAATAATATTTGGTTTGATTTTTTGTCAACCCATCTGAATGACCAACCATTATCTATGGTAGAATTCAATACAAGCTTCTCCCAATGTGCTTTATCTTGTTTAGAAAGAGGAACAGAATGAGTAAAATAATTACTTATATTTTTTTTTTATTACCTGATTTTTCTACAGACAAGGTTGATGATGAATTTGATAAAATTGAAAGATCTGAAGGTTCATTGGTGCATATTGAAGATGAAGAATCAAGTTCAGGGCCTCAAAATGTAAAATTATAAGTTTCATTTTGTTTAATAATTATATTTATCTTAATGAAAAAAATTACGAAAAAATTATCACCATTATATTGATTATTCTCATCTTCACAAAAAAGAATTCTTTTTTGTTCATGTTCAGTATATTGTTCCTTGAAGATTGTATATACAATTTTTTAGGTGAAAAGTTACCAACTTTTTAGTATTTGTTAATTTAGTTTTACAAAAATGACAAAGTGCATAACAATTAGATTTATTGGCTTTTTCATTTAATACTGTGATATATTCAGTGAGAGAATGTTTTGTGGGAGGCATTTTTTAAAAAAAATTTGTGGAACCAGTGATGTTAATGTCCAAATGGACTATACCCAGACACGAATTGGACCGGGTCCAGTTTCAACACTGCTCTACAGTACTAATGCTAAGTACTGTTGGAACTAGCCTAAGATAATAAATAAAAAGAATATATACAAGAAATATTTACAACTATACCACTTGAGGCATCCCTACAAGCAGCATAGAACAATCA